AAACGAATACAGCGAAGATATGTGAATGACGTGTTCTATACATTACACATTACAAAAAAATTTTCCTATATATTGGTGGAGAAGATAAAATGTTGAGATAAGATAAGGACAGTAGGAGATATCATATGAACAGCAGCGTATTCATAAGAATGATTATAACTGACATCATTTCTATCGTGAATAGCATAATTCACGACCCACGGGGATAGTTCTAGCGATCATATATAATTCTTGAGGGACTTTGAGACTATTGCATGAGCTTATGAGGTAAGTGTTCGTTATCAATGTTCTCATTTTCTCGGATTATTTATCCTTTATCAAGGAAGGAAGTCTGAATTTAGCTGGTTTCATCTGATCTCTCATCCTAGGAATACAGATTAATAATGAGTATATTGTAAAGAATGAGAAGATTCGTGCGCAATGGAGAAATAAGAACGAGAAAATTCACAAATAGTATTTGCAGAGAATAATAAACTGATGAGAAATCCAAGAAAGAATAAGAGCCAATGAAATGGCATCGAAAAGATTCAAATTCTCGTCAGAATGCATTCACAATTCAGAAATCGCAGAATTTGAATGCAACTCGGTGAATANTTTAATTGTAAATCGTTATGTTTCCGGATTCAAGGATTTTAATTGATTTATCCGCACTCCCAATCGTTTAATTATGTCACTCGAGCAGATGTGTTGAATGGACTGAATCTGCAACTTTTGGAGTCTGAAGCGACGAAGCTATTTCCATTGCAACGTCATGATTAAAGCAATTATCGTGTTCAACAATCACGGCAAACCGAGACTTCTCAAATTCTATCAGCATTATGTAAGCAAATTTGTCATCCATATTTCCGTTTTTCATTGTTATTTGGTAATGCGTTCATCTGTTAACAGTGATTGAACCGATTACATGGAACAATGGTGATTTTGCATTTTAAGTTGGTAGAATCAAAACGGCATTTCGTTCACATTCGCGGTTGAACATGTTACTTAGTTAGAGCATAGCGAGAGATGTTCGTACGAACGAAATGCGGCTGTGATTTTACCAACCTGAAATGCAACATTACGGGAACAATAAAGATTCGTGATCCGATGCATCAAGTGTTCAAGATTGTTACTTCCATAAGAAGTGTACGATTGTTTTTATTCGAAGGCAACAGTGTGAATAATGAATCTTAAATGAAAATGAGGTTGATTTGAATGAATGAAAATAATTATGTGTTAATGTGAATTAACTTGGTTCTAGCCCGAAGAAGAACAGCAACACATTGTTCGTGAAACATTCCAACTTGTTTCGAAACGTGATGATAACGTTTGCAATTTTCTGGAAGGTGGCAGTTTGATTGGTGGCTCGGATTACAAACTAATCTACCGACATTACGCTACTCTTTATTTTGTTTTCTGCGTGGATTCGTCAGAAAGTGAACTTGGCATATTGGATCTTATACAGGTTTGTTTGGGTTCTCTTTAGAATGCTAATTTCTGGGTGAATTATATTATGT